TGTGCTAATCTGAAGGCCACACTAAGTTTGGAGGTCTTTAGCTATTGACTCTGTAGACAGTTGGAGACTTCTGCGCACTGTGTGCACTTCAGCATGCGCTGAGCCCGCTCTGTCATTTTACGTGGCCTACCACTTGGTGGCTGAGTTGCTGTTGTTCTCAGTTGCTTCCATTTTGTTATAATACCACTAACAGCTGACCGTGGAATATTTAGCAGCAAGGAAATTTCATGGATGGACTTATTGCACAGGTGGCAACCTATCACGGTACCACGCTTGAATTTACTGAGCTCCTGAGAGCGACCCATTCTTTCACAAATGTTTTTAGAAGCAGTCTGCATGCCTAGGTGCTTGATTTTATACATCTGTGGCCATGGAGGTGATTAGAAAACCTGAATCCAATGATTTAGAGGGGTGTTCCAATACTTTTGGCAATATAGTGTACATTACATCAATTCTGAATTTTATTTCTGTCGTACAGGAATTTTTGCATCTTTAGTAACCTCTTCACTTTTTTGAATATGAGACTAGCATGCCAAAAAAAAAAGACAACGATCATTTGTCCAATATTCTTATTGTGTGTATTGGGCTTAAATTACAACTCTTGCAAAAGCTGCCATTTTTTTTAAAAAGGGTCTTGCAACAAAAAAAGTTTGCTATGGATGGGGCAACCAGCTAAAAGTGATTTCTGGCTTTAAATTCAACTACAAAATAAAAATAAAGATAATAATGAAAAAAAGGGCATCAAAGGGGTTGAGTTGGGGTTGAGTGCAGTTCCCTAACTGACTCTAATCCTTCCCTATGCAGTCTGTTTTTCCTAGCTTTCCTTCAGCCACTTCTAATACAATGACACTCTGATCACTGAGCCCCCTTTTATAGTGAGGGGGCTGGCTTATCCAAAAGCCAACTTATTGGTCCTTCCAAGCCTGATGGCAATAGTTCAAATTATATACAGTACATTATGGTTCTTGTTAGAAATCCTGTATATAGTCCTACAGAACAGAAAGTGCACAATCCACATGTACTTTTCTGTTTGCTTCATTACAACCAGGAGACAGGAAACTTTTTATTTAGAGAAACGAGTTTTACCATAGATGCAGCTACAAATTTAGAAACACTGCCATCTACTGGTTGAAGAATATATCTCTACTTAATACGGATGTTGTTATTGCACGAAATACATGAATGTTGCATTTCAACAGCTCTCCTAGTTTGAATTTGCACATTCATTTGCCACGACCACAAATTTCAAATCCTCAGGATTCACCCCGTACCCATGGAAGTGGTAAACCTGAACCTCATCCCTCCCTACCAGTGGGACACAGATGACAGTAAAAACCTTTTTCCACTCTATCCAAAACATAAAGAAGAGTTCTAGCTAAAGTTGGGCTTTAAATAAGACATTTGATATAGTTTCCCACAAGGTACCTGTATTTCTTGTCATTCTTGATACCTATTAGACATGTGCGGTTTGTTTAGTTCCGAATCTAATTTTGGACAAATTTTTTCGTTATTCGGAGATTTGGATGTATCCCAGTTCCGAAATGATAAAAATAACGATTTTAAATGAATCCGAAATATTGAAACGAAATTCGGCCAAAATTAGTTTTGAAAACAAATTTGAATTCGAAAAGACAATCGAAAACAAATTCAAATTCCAAAACAAAATCAAAAACAAAATCGAACAAACATTCAAAAACATATTTAAAGTGGAACTAAACTCAAAAGGGGAAGTTCTGCTTTAAGGACTGTTCCCCCTGCTCCCTGTTAAAGATTGGCACCTTTGAGGAATGGGGGGGAGGGGGTAACCGAAATTGACAGGTACCCGCTCCCACTTCTGCTGCGATCGCCTAGGCGATTGGAAGCAGACGTTGTCCTCCCTCCCCGTAGTCTTATTGGTCCTTCTATACCTGATGGCAATAATTCAAAGACCATGCAGGGCATTTCAGTTCTCCTAGTTGAATCTGCACATACATTTGCCATGACTACAAATCTCAAACCATTGTCAGGAATGGACTTGCCAATAATGGTGGGACTCACCTGCCTTGTGGGCTGCAGTACCAGGGCTGGCCAGCGGGTGCTCTCAGCAATCAGAGACTCACCCCTGCAATCAGCCAAACACCTGAAGCTGATTGCAGGGGTTGTATTTAAGGAATGGCCAGACTCACAGTAAGGGCCTTGGTGTGTGTTTTTTCCATGGGCCCCTGTACCTTGTATCCTGTATCCCTGTTCCTGTCTGACTTGTTGCCGACTCTGCCTGATCCTGACCTCTACTAACTTCTCCTGCTTGATCCCTGGCTTGTGACCCTGACCATTCTCTGCCGGACCCTCTGTACCGCGCTGCCCGTGAGTTACTGAACCCAGCTTGTGACCCCTACCACTCTCCCGCCTGTTCCTGGTACTCCATTTGCCCGTTTGCTACTGACCCGGCCTGCCTGACTACTCTTTGTATTGTATGTATTGTTATCGGTGGGTGGTTTGGTTTGTTTGCACTGTGTTTATGTTTAGTTTTGCACTGCGTTTTGTATTGTTAGTCTTAATAAATTATATTGTTTATACCATATCTGAAGCCTGCGTTTCCCTGTTGCAGTCCACATACCTCTGGTCATACCTGGAGCCCTGACACCCATGGTAGTGGTGAACCTGAACTTCATCCCTACCTGTGGGACACAGACTGCTGTAAAAACCCTTTTCAACTCTATCCAAAACAGAAAGAAGAGTTCTAGCTGAAGTTGGGCTATACAGTAAATAAAACATTTAATATAAAGTTTCACACAATATACAGTGCTGTGAAAAAGTATTTGCCCCCTCCTGATTTTTTGGTTTTGTTTTGTATTTGTGTATTTGTCACGCTGAAATGATTCAGATCATCAAACAAATCTTAATATTACACAAAGATGACCAGAGTAAATGCCATGAATGAACTGTGATTAACCACATTTTTTGGAAGGCTGAGGTAAATTTCACTTGCCACACCCAGGCCCTTATTACTACCAGACCAGATGAATCAAGAAGCTGTCTCACAAAGTGAAGCATGCTAAAACTTCTAAAAAAGCAACACATCATGCTGCGATCAAAAGACATTTAAGAACAAATGGGAACAAAGTAATGAACATGCATCAGCCTGAAGAGTTACAAAGCCATTTCTAAGGTTTTGGGACTCCAGCAAACCACGGTGAGAGCCATTATTCACAAATGGAGAAAACTTGGAACAGTGGTGAACCTTCCCAGGAGTGGCCTGCCTACCAAAATTACTCCAAGAGCACAACGATGACTCATCCAGGAGGTCAAAAAAGAATCCAGAACAACATCTAAAACTGCAGGCCTCACTTGCCTCAGTTAAGATCAGTGCTCATGATTTAACAATACGAAAGAGACTGGGCAAAAATGGCCTCCATAGGAGAGTTCCAAAGTGAAAGCCACTGCTAACCAAAAAGAACACAAAGGCTTGTCTCACATTTTACAAAAAAAAATCTTGAATATCTCCAAGATTTTTATGCAAATATTTTGTGGACTGATGAGACAAAAGTTGAACTTTTTGGAAGGTGTGCGTCCCGTTACATCAAGCATAAAGCTAACACAGCACTTCATAAAAAGAACATCCTACCAACAGTCAAACATGGTGGTGGTAGTGTGATGCTCTGGGGTCGCTTTGCAACTTCAGGACCTGGACGACTTGTCATAATTGAATCATGAATTCTGCGCTCTACCAGAAAATCCTGAAGAAGAATGTCAGTCCGTGACCTCAAGCGCACTTGAGTTATGCAGCAGGACTATGATCCGAAACACACCAGCAAGTCCACCTGTGAGCAGCTCATAAAACAAAATTAAGGTTTTGGTGTGGCCTAGTCAAAGTCCGGATTAAATCTGAGATGCTGTGGCATGACCTTAAACAGTCCGTTCATGCTCCAAAACCCTCCAATGTGGCTGAATTAAAAAATTTCTGTAAAAAAGAGTGAGCCAAAATTCCTCCACAGCGATGTGAAAGACTCATTACCAATTATCGCAAACGCTTGATTGCAGTTGTTGCCGCCAAGGTTGAACAACCAGTTGTTAGGTTTAGGTGGCAATTACTTTTTCACATAGGGCCAGGCAGGTTTGGACAGGTGTTTTCCCTTAATAAATTAAATCATTATTTAAAAACTGCATTTTGTATTTACTTGGGTTATCTTTGTGTAATATAAAAATTTGTCTATAATCTGAATCATTTAAGTGTGACAAATATTAAAAAAAAAAAAATAAACATCAGGAACTTTTTCATATCACTGTACCTGTATATATTGTCATTCATGATACCTATCATTTTCCCTAGTTCATGTCTTTGGTGATCATGGTGATAAAATATGTGTTAAACACACAAAGGATTACTGTGAACAAGTATTGTTAGATAAGGTCTGATCGATCTTTTCAGGAAAACTTGTAAGCTGAAAAATGTACCTACAAATGCTTTCAGAAAATTTCTGTCAAATAAATATTTTTTAAAGTAATAATATAGTAAAAAAATTAGAGGAAGGCATAGAGCACTGTAGAGGGTGAATAGAGTGCAATGCTTGATCACCAATTAGAAATATTTTTTCCAATGTTTACACTGATCATTAACCACTTGCCACTTATACCCCCTTCTTTACCAGGCCAATTTTCAGCTTTCAGCGCTGTCGCACTTTGACTGACAATTGCGCAGTCATACAAGATTGTACCCATATGAAATTTTTAAATTTTTTTTCTCACAAATAGAGCTTTCTTTCGGTGGTATTTAATCGCTGCTGGGAGCTTTACTTTTTGCGCTATAAACAAAAAAAATTGCAAAAAATTAAAAAAGATTTCTTTGTTTCTATATATATAAAATTTTTCAAACAGGTAATTTTTCTTCTTCACTGATGTGCGTTGATGAGGCAGCACTAATGGGCACTGATAGGCGGGCACTGATGGGCACTGATAGGCAGCACTGATGGGCACTGATAGGCAGCACTGAAGGGCACTGATAGGAGGCACTGATAGGCAGCACTAATGAAGTGGCACGGATAGGTGGCACTGATAGGCAGCACTAATGAGGTGTCACGGATAGGCGGCACTGATAGGTGGCACTGATAGGCAGCACTGATGATGGGTACTGATAGACAGCACTGATAGGTGGCACTGACCGGCATCACTGCTGGGCACTGACTGGCGGCACTGCTAGGCATTGACTGGCAGAGCTGCTGAGCACTGACTGGCACAACCGCTCGGCACTGACTGGTGGCACTGACTGGCAGCACTGCATTGATGGGCACAGGTGGGTGGCACTGCTGGGCACAGGTGGGTGGCACTGGTGGGCGGGCAGAGGTGGGTGGCACTGCTGGGCTAAGGTAGGTAGCACTGCTGTGTGGCACTGCTGGGCACAGGTGGGTGCACTGCTGAGCACAGGTGGGCGGAAACTGGTGGGTGGCACTGCTGGGTACCGATCATCAGGGCACTGATCATCAGTGCCCTGATGATTGGTGCCGGTCCCTGCTCTGACAACGTCCGGTTCTCGGCAGTACTTTCCTCGCGCTGTAACAGCATGAGGAAAGTGCAGCCGAGAACCGGCAATTGCATTTCCCGGTGATCAGCGTGTCATTGGACACGGCTGATCACGTGGTAAAAGGCCGCTGTGATTGGCCTTTTACCACATCACGTGATCAGCTGTGTCCGTAGGACATATGACGCCCTCCCAGAACTGGCCGGCCGCAGTGTAGCCATCATTCGGCTATCTGCGGTTGGCAAGTAGTTAAAGGTGACATCTACTTTTCTGTAAAACCAATGGTGAAACCAGTCGAAAGTAATTTTGCAAAAACAAACTTGTTAAAAAAGCACTGAAATTTTAAAATGTATTGCTGGGATCCAATATTCATGTATTTTTGTGCAACAACTACTGTACACAGTATTCAGTAGAGATATATTCAGGGGCGGACTGACCATTTGGGAACTCGGGCACTGCCCGAGGGCCCGGGGTCAGTAGGGGGCCCCATGAGATGCCCCTGGTACCTTTTCATAGGCTTTTTTGGGTGTGGTTTGAGTGTGGGTGAGGACACAGGGGCCCCATGATCCCCTATTGCCTGGGGGCCCCATGAGTTGTCAGTCCTCCCCTGGATATATTCTTCAGTCAGTAGATGGCAGTGTTTATAAGTTTGTAGCTGCATCCATGGTTAAGCTCTATAATAAAGTTCCTGTTTCCTGTTTGCAAAGAAGCTGCTGATAAACACACATCTGGACTGTGCACTGTCTGTTCTGTAAGACTTATATACAGAGTCTCTAACATGTATCATATATGTAGCCAGGTGCTTGCCTAGAGACAGAGAGCAATTTAGGATACTATGTTGCAGTGCTCTCTGTGCTTCCAATTGACATATGCTGAATGGGTTTATACTAACCTCCATCCCCCCAGGGGGAGCTAACAAGCAGAAGGAGCTCAAGACTTGATGGTGGACAGCACTGAATCATGGGAGATGTAGTGCAGTGGAAGGAATATGCTATGGGAGTCAATGGACTATAGAACTACAATTACAAATGCAAGCCAGGTATAAAGACAGAGAAAAAGAGCGCTGTATTTTCATTGTCTATCCAAAAGTCAACTTATTGTTCCTTCTGTATCTGATGGCAATAGTTCAAAAGCCATGCAGTGCATTATGGTTCTCCTAGCTGAATCTACACATACATTTGCCATGACTACAAATCTCAAACCCTCAGGATTTTCCTCAAACCCATGGTAGTGGTGAACCTGAACTTCATCCCTACCTGTGGGATACAGATGACAGTAAAAATCTTTTTCCACTCTATCCAACACATAAAGTAGTGTTCTCACTGAAGCTGCGTTTTTAACGGCTTCCCGACCCGCCCTATAGCAGAACTACTGCTACAGGGGCTGTGCAAAATCACGTATATATATGTGACTTCATATTTCCGGTTAGAGGGTGTGCGCGCCCTACCCGGGCTGTTATTGGCGGCTACAGCTGTCGATCACCGGGTTCCCTGCCAGCATCTGGCGATCGCCGAGTATCACTGACGGGGGGGAGAGGTCTATATGTAAAGAATACAGATCTCTCCCCTGTCAGTTCCTGCATACTGCTTTATGCAGAGCAATACAAAACAGCATGTCTCTCTAGCAGGGGCAGACTGACCATTTGGAAACTCAGGCACTGCTCGAGGGCCTGGGGTCAGTAGGAGGCCCCATGAGATGCCCCTGGTACCTTTTTCATAGGCTTTTTTGAGTTTGGGCAAGGACACAGGGGCACCATGATCCCTATTGCCCGGGGGCCCCATGAGTTGTCAGTCCCCCCCTGCTCCCTAGTAAAACACAGCACACAGTTAATCACACACACACATACAGTTAACCTTTTGATTGCCCTAGATGTTAACCCCCTTCCTGCCCTGCTCTTTATTAGCACCGATCACTGTATTTAGTGTCATTGGGATGTCAGTGGCAGTTAGTCAGTTCGGATGTGAGTGTCAGAATCCCTGCCGCAGTTCCGCTATAAATTGCTGATCGCAGCCATTCACGTAAACCAATTAATTTACACGTATTGGGATTTTATTTAGTAAAGACATATTGCAGAATACATTTTGGCCTAAATTTATGACGAAATTTGATTTTTTACATTATTTTAACTGGATAAAGTTTTTATAGCAAAAAGTCAAAAATATAGCTTTTTTTTTCAAAATTGTGGGTCTTTTTTTGTTTTTAGTGTAAAAAAAAAACACAGAGGAGATCAAATACCACCGAAAGAAAGATCCATTTATGGGAAAAAAAGGACATACATTTAATTTGAGTGCAGTGTTGCATGACCACGCAATTGTCAGTTAAAGTAACACAGCGCTATATCGTAAAAAATGGCTTGGTCAGGAAGGGGTGTAAATCCTCTAGAGGGGAAGTGGTTAAATAAGACATTTATATAAAGTTTCCTGTATTTCTTGTCATTCTTGATGCCTTTGGTTTTCCATAGTCCATGTCTTTGTTGATCATGGTGATAAAATATATGTTAAATACACAAAGGATTACTGTGAACAAGTATTGTTTAGATAAGGTCTGATTGATTTGTGCAGGGAAATTTGCAAGGTAAACAGTTTTTACCTACAAATGCATTCAGAAAATTTCTGTCAGAAAAATATTTTTTTTTTTAGAAATAATAAAAAATATCAAAAAATTATATAAAGGCATAGAGCAGTGTAGAAGGTGAATAGAGTGCACAAATGCATGATATCAAATTAGAAATTTTGTTTTCATCGTTTACAGTGCTTATTAACCACTTCAGCACCAGGCCAATTCTGACACTTCTTGCATTTATGTAAAACTCTACACTTAGCTGGGAAATTACTTGGAACCCCAAAATCATTATATATATATATGTATATTATATATATATATACACACAACACAATACATTTTAGCAGAGGCCTTAGAGAATAAAATGTTGGATGTTCCAAGTTTTTTATGTCACACAGAATTTGCACAGTGGTTCTTCAAAGCGCAATTTTTTGGGAAAAACATACACTTTCATTTTATTGCACTCAAGCACAATATAATTACCCACATTTTTGGTAAAATATAAAAGATGATGTTACGTCAAGTAAACACATAGCTAACATATCATGCTTTAAAATTGTGTACACCCATAGAATGGCACCAAAGTTATGATACCTAAAAAATCGTCATAGGCAACGCTTTTTAGATGCCTTTACAGGTTACCAAGTTTTAGAGTTACACTGAAGGTCTGAGTTAAAATTATTTCTATCACTCGTGACATTCGCGACTAAATCTCACATGTGTAGTGGGATCACCGTTGACATGCATGCGTGAGACTTACGTATGCGTTCACATTTGTGCATAAGCATGGGGGATGGGGGTGCTTTACATTTTTTTATTATTTATTTTATGTAAAAACTTTTTTTTTCACACGGTGTCTCTTTAATTTTTTTTTATCAACTTTATTGCTATCACATGGGGATGAACAACATCCCTTGTGCAGCATAAGCCATGGCAGGTCCTCTTTATGGAGAGATCTGGGGCCTAGTAACTAGGTATGGAAGAGGAAGACTTAATGAAGTGCATGCACAAGGTCTCTGCTAGGTGCATGGCGGGACTCCATTCTGCTACTTGGAGTAAGGTAACAGAGTAATGCTGGACAGGTGGAGTGGGATGAGGCTCAGCATGTCTTTCTAATTGCAACAAGTTAAAGTGAAGGCACCGGGAGAAGAGCGTTGACTGGAGTACAATTTATGGTTCAGCGTACACTGTACTGTATTTGGTCATTTCTAAGTGGGAGTTCCACCTTAAGTTTGAGTCATCCCTGAAAGCAGCCTTCGCCTTACCCAGGGCATTGATGAGCAAGGCACAGTAAAGCCTACCCCATGTGGAAGGCAATGTGACCCCAACCAAGGGTGGCATAGCCCAGAAGAACCTACCCAGGGGGTAGTCCTCTTATATGACCCCCACAACATGGCGCTGAATAAAGGGAAACATGAAGGTCCACTGAACATTACCACCCACTGCCACACACCCTCCAATTATGGTTTACTATAAAAACTGATGAGCTATAAAAGTATTGAAAGCATATTGATAATTAGGGTACTTTTTGCGGGTGCACGCACTTTTAAGGAATGACATATTGGTGTCTATTTACTTTACACTACCTTAATTTTTATAAGAAACCAAAAAATGGGGATTAAATAGTGTTTGAGTAGTGTGCAAGCGAAAATCATTCTAGTGTATTTTTTCATGAAAATATAGATTTGACAAATAGTTTGCACAAACATGTTTGCAGCATAAAATTGCAATGACTGTTTCTTTTCTATAAGGCTTCTTTTCTTTTAGAAAATAAATGAGGGTCCTGGGGGGTTTTAAGTAAATTTCCTAACTAAAAAATGCAGCTTTTTAGTGTGTGTAAAAAAAGAAAAAAAAACAGTGAAAAAAATGTTCTCGAGGGGAAATGGTTTCAGAGTGTCGGTATTCAGAAAAGGCTGATTGTGTTGTCCGTTGTCATGTACGTATTACTGAAACGGGAGCAAATGTTTGCCTAAATTAGTGTGCAGGTGGTTTGAAAATTAACTACTTTCCAGAAATTACCAGGCTTTATTGAATTATCTCCAAATTGTACAAGTGGGTCCTCACTGGGGAACTTTTTAGCACACTTATCTTTGAATAAGCATTTGGATCAAGTAGATGCCGATTAGACATCTCCTCACACATAGATGCAAAGAGAAGACTGAACTGGATGAGAAATAAAGCCAAAAAGAAGCTTTTAAGCACTTT